GGACTCCACAACCACAATAATCTCAATTTCAAGAATCGACTCCATTTTTGCCCCAACTTGGTCTCATCTTCTCCCTCCAGAGGAGCTCTGTACTGCACTTGCAGAAGCACTAATCTCTCTAATGGCGAAGCAATCTCAGACCCTTTCGTCCTCACAACTCCCCTTTATTACGTCAATGCCCCTCCCACATGGGCAGTGCCTACACCACCATCGCGCGACGCAATTGCCCGTTTTCAGGTACCCTTTTCAGACCTCATCTTCAACTCGTCCTTTGCTTGTTATTGAATCATGCCTTAATTTGTTTTCTGGGTTTGGCTGCTGAGAAAGTGAAGAAAAAATATTATGTTGTTGGTTTCTCTATTTTTGTACTGCCAAATAATTACCAGTAGAAAATTATGATAAGATTGTGTATGCAAGGGTTTAACCCTTTCAGAGCTCATTTTGAAGTCCATCGTTTGATTTTTATGAATTCATGCCTTAATTTGTTTCCTGGTTCAACAAATTTTTGGGTTGCCCTGTTTGGTTGCTGAGAAAGTGAAGGAAAATATAGATAAGTGATATACTAAATGGTATACTACCAATTATAGGAATGCAATGCTTTCATTACTAAACATTTAACAACTCTGGGCATATAGGACTGTTCAAAAGCTAACCTGGCTAAGCATGACTCACGAGTCAGCAGACTTTAATAAGTTATGCAGAGTTCAATCTTGAGTTGAGTTTCATGTCAAATTTTCATAATAGCAAGGGTTTTAACTAGCCGCTGAAGAGGCTCTTGAAAAAGGTAAGTACAATGGATAAATCATAGTATAAGATATTTAAATAAGGGGAGCAACAGTAATAAAAAAAGATAGAAATTAAATAAAGCTATAAGAAGATCGTGCATATATAATGGGATTTAAAATGGTGAATTTAAAGGTACCATACCTAACAGGGTTGGACATAAAGTTAAAATGTTGAAAAATTAATACCTGGCTTGTATATAAGCTGTCGCACAATGACTACTTAACTCTGGTACCTGACTTATTGTCATGTCTAATTTATCATGGCAGAGGCTGCTGGGAAAGAAAGTTATATTCATTACTGGCACAGATGAGCACGGAGAGAAGATTGCTACTGCTGCAGCTGCCTGTGTTCCAGCCCAAGTGAACACTGTGATGTCATTTCACAAGCTTAAAGGCGCTATGGAAGATATGGTCCTCTGCTTAGGATTCAGTCTGAATAAATATTTTTATTTTCCCCTTCTCTTCATTTACTTGTTGTTTGCAGTTAGACATAGCTTATGACAAGTTCATTCGGACGACTGCTTCCAAGCATGAAGTTATTGTGAAGGAATTTTACTCCAGAGTTCTTGCCAATGGCGACATTTACCGGCAGATTACGAGGGCCTTTATTGCGTCAACTGTGAGGAGTACAAGGTGGTATTCTGCACCACAATAAGCTATTGGTGGTGTAAATTGTATTATCATTATCA